TGCCCTTTCTTTGCCACACACTTCTTCTTTCCCTGATGAGTTCTGAGGCCTTTCACTGATGTTACTTTCTGCCAGCCGCAAGGACAAACCTGAAGCATCTTGATATAATATAATATACATTTTCTAGTTAAAAAGTATACTTTGCATTTCATCAAACTGATTTCTTGCACCTACCAGCAGCTCCTGCAGGACCCATCTGTGCACTGACTGCTTCTCCATGTTTCAGGCTTTGAGTTAAAGCTGTTGCTGCCTCCCTCAGTGAGTCACAGCTCACAGACTTTCCTTTGTTCTCTTTAGCAGTTTGTCCAAGACGTGTTAACAGCTCTGGAAGGTTCTTCTGTGTTAAAGACCCAAATCTGCATCTTCTGATCATGTCCTGTAGGGCAGGATGGTTTGTGACATCTTCTGTGAAACCTGAACTCTTCTCTCTGGGTGTTGATATCAGTATAATTGAATGATCAAATGATTGATCACTGAAGCATTTCAGGACTCTGCAGAGTCTCAGTTTGTGTTCCTCAGTGAAGTCTTCAGGCTGTAAAACCAGCAGGAACACATGAGGTCCAGGAGCAGAGAGTCTCACACAATTTTCTACATGTTCTGACAGTTTGTCTTCAGAGATGTTGAGATGCAGCAGATCTGGAGTGTTGATGACAGCTATTTTTTGGACCCCTATTTTTCTTGCCCATCTCAGACAGCAGTCTGGTTCTTCCTCAGTGTTGAACTTAGTCTCTCCTAGTATGAAGTTCCCCACTGAACTCCTCTGAGACCAGCTGTTCCCCAGCAGAACAACCCTCAGCTCACACACTGAAATCAAAGGGTAAATATATTTTGACTTATTGTAACAAAGCAGATAATCTCTAACCCACTGTGCAATAGATATAGAACATTTTAACATGTTGGTATATTGGAGAAAAAGATCAGTGCTGATATTGTTCTGAAACCTCAACTCTGATCATGCAACTATTCAAATAGAATAAAATGTAACTGACTCATGTCCACTGAGCAATGAGCACCTTTCAAACACATAAAGTGAATGAATTACCTATTTTAATCCTACTATATCTAATCATCTAGAAAATATTGGAAATGTAAATGTAACACCAAGCAGTTAGGCTTCATTTCAATTTATTTCAACTCACTGGCGGGTGGCAGAAACACCAGGCTGTTGTTACGCTTCAGAGGATCCAGATCACATTGTTCTGTAAAAAAATGCAGAAAAGCAAAATACAAGTCTGGTATTCATTGATTTTATACACCAACAATACAATCAGTAAGATAAAAGACATTTACATTTCACCTAAATAAAAACTGGCTTTATTTCTGTCAATGCAGACTCACGCATAGAACAGATCCTTCCCTCTGGTAAGGATGATAATCTACTGTGAGACCACTTGTATATGACAAATGCATGGTCCCATCTTGGTCCTCTTGGTACAGCCCAAGCTGCAGCACTCAATCCCTCTCACTCTAACTTGTGAGTTAAGTAAGCAGGTACAGGCATACACACTATAACTGTCCTGTACCTGACATTATACACAATTAACAGTTTCCATTAGCCTTCTAAAGGGATGGGAACACAAACCTCTATGACTTATTATCAAACTGGTGTGATAAAGAACTCTTAACTTGTTAAGGACTGTTACCTGCCCACATAAGGACCTCACACCTACAGGGCTCCACAAATGTAATAGACACAAGCTATAGACAGTTTACTTTTTTTGTGGAAAAAGTACATTTTCCTGCTGCTGATAATATTCATATACAAGTCAGCTCATAACTAATGTGTCTATGGCACCATTTCCCAAACGTCCCCTGAAGTACCCCATGTGCTCCATGTTTTAAATCTCTGCCTGCTCTAACACAGCTGATTTAGATGATAACCTTGTCATCAAGCAGCTTCAGGACTTCATAACAAGCTGATCATTTCTTCAGCTGTGTTGGAGCAGGGAGAGATCTGAAACATGGAGGACATGAGATACTACAGGAGAGGTTTGGGAAATGCTGGTCTATAGGATAAAATGAAAACAGCAGTACATCTTCTCTTGGTTACACATATTTAGCATGACTTAGTCATCAACAAATCAGACTCAGTCTGTAACAGCTCCCCTCAGCCATCGACTAATAATGCATTTAGGAATACATATGCATTATGCCATTAATGACAGACAGTTATTTTAATAAACCTACCTCAGTACTGCAGGGCAGTTGTACTGAAACAACTTATTGAAATAAAGCATCTCATCATATTTACACATATTGTCATGATACAAACTGTGATTAGACTCACCAGACACTGTTGATGACTCTGCTTGAGCCTCACTGTGCTGGAAACCTTTGACAGAGATATCCACCTGGAAGAGCCCCACTGAGGCTTAAGAAAGAAAAGGAAGAATTAGTTAACTTAAACTACTTTAACTTAAATTTGTTTATACAAATATCTGATTGACACACAGTCGCAATATTTAAACTTCCTTCACTGATTTAAATGGGTGGACAAAATATTAGAGAACACCTCTCAGTTAACACAATAAAACTACAGCCTCTAAAACAACAAGAGATGAATCAAACCCTCTCTAAAACAGGTTTAACAGAAACTGAACATTGTAATCTTAATGAAGGAAGTATCTAAAGTATTAGTTTGAGCTGGGTGGACCTAATAAAAAAAATAAATAAAAAAACAGTAGGTGAATGCATGTCATGTTCATTAATAACTTTTGAGTTATTGGCTTGACTTGAAAAATGATGAGGGACCCTGATATCTCATATGTACCTGCAGAAAATGTGTGTGTATGGTCACTAATTTGAATGAAGCTGTGTTTGCTGTAAAGTCAGTGCCTTCCAAACAAACTTCATCCGCAGCCGTGACATTAATCTGTGGGGGTTGTAAACTTGTTATTACTGGTGCTGTTATCTTTATTATTTTATGGGATTTTTATTTCCTTGTTCATCTTTCATCTGGACTTTAGACTCTGATTTATCTTAACCCTCTGGTCCCCCTTATAAAAAAAATCACACCTGTCCCCTTCATGACATTTTTTGTCCGTGTTGAAAAACAACCATAAAAATATTAAATATTAATATTTTTTCAACTTTTTTTTGCTTAAATCTTTTAACCAATATTTTTTAGTATCTACACAGCCACAGCCCCCAGACATCCATATCAACACTAACTTAGCATTGATTTAAATTTTTTTTTTTTTTTTTTGCAACAATGGCTCACAAACCTCAACAATGAAAAAATAGGAGAAAATTACAGGCAATTTTACTGCTTATTATTTAGTATGTGTTTGCTCTGCTGGGGAAGCAGGAGAAAATGTATGTAATGTAAAAACTTCCATTTTGATCCCCTAACTCTGGAATGCATGACTAATATCATCAAATTCATGTTTCTAAGTTGCCATGAGGATGTGATGAACAAATACGGAATTTATATTTTCACATAAGGATTTGACATTGTGTATTTTGAGTCCAAGTACACATACATACACACACACACACACACACACACACACACACACACACACTAATATTGCAATATTCTTATACAGACCACACTGTCACATCCTTATGAGCACAGCAAGACCATTTTCTGATCTACTCTGCATTTGCCCTCCCTGTTAGGGGCCTATAGTGCTTCAAGTGGCCAAACCAGGAATTGCATTGAAAAGACAGCAGGGCCCCAAAAATGGAAATTGGCACCATCTGTTAGTTTTTTTTTTTTACTATTCTTCGGTCTCTCTAACTAACCTGACTGCCAGAGATATAAAAAAACTCATGTTTTTTTAATGTAAATTGAAGGGGAATCAAAAAATGTTGTTTTAATGTGTTTCAATGGGGACGTTTTTCGTCCGAGAAGCGAGGTGTCGTAAAAGGTTGCCATTTGTGTATTTTAGGCCTGATTTAGCAGCGGCTTTAAAATTTCAAAAATATCACCAAAAATAAGTTTTCTGACCAAATGTGATGCTATATGCATGAACACAGCCAAAGTTATCAAAAAATAAGAACTGAAAAATGACTGAAAAAGACATTTTCCGTCCAAGCGGGACCAGAGGGTGGACTGCTGTACAGCTTAATAAAGGAATCAATAACTTTGCTTACATCAAGAAAGATTAGACACCAGATTTCTCAAATTTCAAATTACTGGAAAGCCTCACAATTATCCCCTCTTCTTCCCCAGCACTACCACCACCACAATAATTACAGAGGACCATCCTCTTCTGTGGTATGTTTCATAAATACATGTTCAAAACTCAAACTCAGACAGCTGTTACTTACTGCTGGTGGCTGTTGCTGATATTTTGGGTGGTGTGTCTGCCATCGTGTTTTGTCAAAGTTTATCATGAATCTTCAGTATATTCCCTTCAGCTTAATGTGTGTAGTCACTTTAAGCAGTTACTCTGGTCCATTTGATCTCCAGGCCCAAACAGTCGATACACACCTGAGGATTATATATAACAAGCTTCAGTTTTATAATGTACTTACTTGTTTATATATTTAGATTCATATTTCAGTTGAGTTCACTCACCTGGTGACATTCTTGGTGCGTCAGTCTTCGTCCAAGTACGAAATATGAAATTACAACTTCACCCTAACGGCCGACTCACCTGGGACAACCTCTTTTTTTTTTTTAGCAGAGTGGGTGGGACACTGCGCAGACATGAGATCAATCAAACAGCTGAGTTAATGCTTAACATGCCTTAAAGTTATACACCAGCACTGGGAAGCCTTAAAGAATGCTTTATCATCTCTTATCTCTGTGCACAACTGAGGAAATAACTGTGACAGTTTATTACAGCTAGAATGAGCTGTATGCAGCGGCTTATTATGAACTGGAGTTCATTGAAATACTATTTTAAAATATCACGATTTCAAACACAAACATTGTCTGTTGAAGCTTTTAATTCCCATAATACAAGGTGTTACATGTGGGTTTTGTGACTTCTAATTCTATATACCTGCAGTTAGCCAAGAAGATATTACCTGACAAGTTACGTTAATGCCAGCAGTAGTAGTATTTAACCTATGAAGTGACGATCATCAAATGCAACAAAAGCGATAGCTGGGACTGTGTACTAGTTATCGTTCAAGCAATCCTTTCTCATGTATAAACATTTTTTGTTGATTCTAGTCAGCTGTGTACATAAGGATTGCTAACCACGATTAAAACCAGCTAGTTACATCAACCCACCTGATCTGAAGTGATGGGCAGACCCTGTGAAGATTTGGTTGCAAGTTTATTTGCTGTTACATGTTCTTCTCCATGGTGCTGTACAAGACTGATCTTTAAAGCCGATTTAAAGATCTACAGTTTTTCCCAACATCTGATACATTAAAATGACCACAGTGGAATACATATCTACAGAATGGTTGTGACAATGTAAGACTCAATTAAATTTCGACATATAAAAAATACATTTCAGCAAATAAAATAAAAGCTAAATATGAGTTTGTCATTCAGTGTGGACTCAAACTTGCAGCAGAGGTTTTTTTTATTTATAAATAAATGTATCCTATGAGTTTATGGATCCTTTTTGACAGTCTATGTCTTCTCCAGCCACCCTAATAACATACATGTGGAAAATAACAGCCATTTCATAAGTCACTATTAAATCATTCATTTCAGTCATTTTAGGTAATGCCCTGATAGATTTCATTTATATCACTCTCATTAAAAAATATAAGGTTTCAATATCAGTGACACAACTTGACTGTGCAAAAGGCTCTCCCTCTCCTACCCCTGCTCGCCCGTTGCACACAACTCATTTTGCACATGGCGGCCCTCTGCACACTATTCGTGTGGGCTTTGTGAAGAGCAGCAGATGGACTGAAACAGTTTTAGTTAGGTTTTTCAGTTTGTGTGTAAGTATTTATTTGTTTATAGTTTGTTTACAGTTACTGTTAAACCTGAAAGTCCCCCAGTTGCGATTTTGCAAGCACAGTGTGAAACAATACACTGATCACGAAGAATATAGTGATGTTGCACATCAAATTTAACAGCAGAACCTGGACTACACAGCTGTACAAACCCTTTCTGGGGGAAGCATAACAATGACCACTCACAGCAGCCGACATCTCCCCACAACGCGTTCTGCTGACTCTGATTTGCTTACAGTGCTGTCAATCTCGTTTTGGTGGCATTCTATTAGCTCTAACGAATCAAACGAGGTGTCAATCACTAATATCGGCCAAGCCTTCGCGGAGATACGGGCCTCCAAAGCTCAGAATAGAAACTCAGGTTCAAATGTAGTAGGTGCATATTGGTCAGTTTGTATGGGGTGCCGTTTGTAAAGTGTCTCACGCTGAAAATAACATCAACATTTTGCCACATTTAGCTTCAAACAATGTTTAAAAAAGTATTGTGAATTTTTTAACGTCTAAGTTAACCAATATTGCTGTAAATGTGGTAAAAGGTGACGTTAAAAAATTCACAATACTTTTTTAAACATTGTTTGAAGCTAAATGTGGCAAAATGTTGATGTTATTTTCAGCGTGAGACACTTTACAAACGGCACCCCATAAGTTTGGAGTGGGAAATAAAGGGAAAAAAACGAAACAGACAGTTGTATGTGTATATCCTAAACATCAGTAGGGATTTACAGAAACAAAAAATGGAAGATATAGAATTGTACATGACAAAAATCACTTGCAAACGTGGTACAATTTTGGAGAGCTCGCCTGAATTTTCTGTACTAAAACCTCTCTAATATTGTTCTGCTTCGCTTTATCAGAATCAGCCTTTGCAGGGTTAATGTTCACATATTGTACTATGATGTGATCGAGGTTTAGAGCTGCTGCTGCATCATTCCAAACTGATACTCATCCTAAAAAGGCGAACCTCAAAATGTTTCATTTGTGCTGTGTGCCATCTTCATTTACTCCTCACATATAACACATACACTGATATTTACACACCTTAACAAATCTCACAAGTGTTCCCTTTACCATGACACCAAAAGTATTCAAATAGACCTTGTGGTTGCAGAGACTTATTCATTTCATTATGGATATGCAATTTTCGAGCAGAGGCCTATAAAATAGGCTTAGCTTTGAAAAGGTTACGATGTTTAGGCATTGTTAGCAATTTATACAGTGTTGTTGGAAGCCTAGCAGCTATTTATGTGATAATTTCCTACAAGCTTGCATTGAGTGATTATTTCCATTATCTGTTCTGTTTATTTAGCCGGTCAAGTAGTATTTCTGTTGTAGATTACAGTTTAGTTCTGTAATCAAATGTCGCTTTCATTTTTAGAAGCACACTCCCATAAATAGAAATAGTGCCTGTGCATCTGTTGTATGCCTTGAGTTGTAATAAACCTCTAAAGGGACATTCCTGCTTCCCGTGTCCTGACTAGACACCCCATATCATTGATTACCTTTCCTGAACCACAGAGAGCTTTGATACAATGACTACACTTGTGTTTATACCATTTTTAAGGCTGTGTCGTTAAAACTAGAATCACCGCTCTGCGGTTGTATGAGATATCACTTTAAGGCCTGTTGCCAACACGGGGGCATAAAAATACAAAAAAAGAAAAGAAAAGAAAAGAAAATGGTCTGAAGGTCACTTGATAGCAGTGGAGATCAGAGTATAAAACAACAAATGGATAAGAGGTTTATTATATCAATAACAGGTCAAAGTCTGTGGATGGTTCTTTACAACTCTTAAAGGTTTTATATTCATCCTTTATTTTCAGATTACAAAATGGGACTTCGGTCATAAGAGGCAAGTGATATCAAAGTCATCTGATAGCAGTACAGGATCAGGTTTAATATCAGAGTACAATACAACCATTGATAGCAGGTTTATGATGTGAAGAACAGGACAAAGTCTCTGTCTCTGGTGGAAACTTGATAAACACATACATTTAATATTAAACTTTTGATTCCAGGGTTCAAAAACTCATCTACTAAACCCCTTAGACATAATGATACTGTCACGAGAGCTCTTAAATGAGGCCTTAAATAAAGCCTACAGCTTTAGGTAATCTCACTCTAGAAAGGCTTTTTTCCCCTGAAATTGAAATTTCCTCTTTGTTGCTGGTCTGAATTAGTTTGAACTTGTTCAATTTTAAGCGTGTAGTTGTAGTAACCTTAAGTAGCAATAACTTGAAGTCAATGTCCTGTTAAATTAAACAGTGTTTGTTGTTTTAAATAGGAAAGAAAATGGTTGAAATTGACCTGATTTATCTTCTTAAATGGGAACAATTGAAGAAAGTGTTTCTTTAAATTTAGATAGACATCATTATACACAGAATCGGACAGTATCTTATAGTGTATGTTGTATTTTATCCTTCAGTTTCAGTTCTTTGTTGCAGCTCTCTGATGTTTACACTCAGTTAAATATTCAACACTCAAGACGTGTTTTTAAAGGCTGCATAATTCCATCAAACAGAATCAGAGCACCATCACATGATTTTAAACACATTTCTGCATTGATTTCTATCTTTGGGAAATGTGTGATCTACATTAGAATTTGAAAAAGTTTTGTGGGTTGAACAATGTCTGAAAAAATGACATGGATTTTTTATGATGGGGTTGGGGTCACTGCTGGGTCAGCTAAAGTTTAAATTATACTGCATCAACTTGGGAGGACATTTTAATGATTTCAACCTGCAATGATTTCTTACAGAAGATTGGAGGCTGTGAGAAACACAGCTGTCAACAAAACTATTTACTGATTTATGTGTCACTGAACAGTGACTAAAAATGGTTGTAAACAACCAGTGTTCAGAGGTTCAAAGTCTCCCTTTGCTGGTACAGTCAGATTCCTGAAATATGAAAACACAACTGTCAGGTTATCAAATCCACACTGTACTCCTGCATGAATGTGATTGGACGTTATGTGACTCAGAGCAATGAATGAACCAATGACTGTGAGGAATACTGCAAACAGCTGATTCCAATCAGGCTATACCAGCAACACCTCTGTGCTCTGTCTGAATTAACACTATGATTCATTTTGAGTGTTTAAACAGGAGTGAACATTGAAAACAAATGTAATATTTGTAATAACTGCTCCACATTTACACCTGACATTTGATCATAATCCAGTGATGTTGTGAGGTAATCATCCTGTGTCACTGTGCGTCCCCGTGGACTCATCAACTGTGAGTTTACTGTGTCCTTTCAGATTTGAATGTATACAGGACATCTGCTGTACACATAATGATGCAAGTATTATGTCAGAATCCCCATATGAGGTCGGCCTATTGTAAAGCCAGATGAAATTATATGCACACACACACACACACACACACACACACACACACAATCTCATATATATATCATATCTATATATCCATCTCTATCTATGTTTATATACATATAGCCTACACAGCGTGTGTGTGTATGTCCACAAAAGTTTCAGGGAGTGCTTGTGTGACAGGGACATATTTGAGATTGGGCAAGTGGGAGGGGTGTGCTTTACTGATTCTTGTTCAGAAATAAAAGTGGGGCCAGAAGAGCTCATACCAAAAAGAGCAATTTCCCCTATATGCAACTAGCAGCAGCGCACCACCCTTTATTCTCCTCTGCTCTCTGTATCACGCATGGCGGAGTTTCACTCTGATGCGCGCGCACACACACACACACACACACACA